ATTTCTTTTTATCAATTAAAGATACTCTGAAATCAGTTGCATGGAACCTGCTTTAGCCTTCACATTTTTCTGACCCATTATTAAGCATAATTCATGCAGTAAATCTGTATACTCTCTATAGCTCTTTTGTTTTTGTTATTCCATTTTTATACCCAGCCAGACCCTAAGACAACTGAGGAAAATTTCCTCTTTGCCACAATAACAACGTGTGTGTTTATGCTGCTTATTAGATACCAGGCAAGATCATTAATATCTGTGTTTTGTGGTTAGATCCCCATAAATTTTCTGTATTATTTCATTTTATCCAGGATAAGAAGACCATATACAAATATGTCCAAACTTGGCTCAATGCCACGCATCTCTATAGGATGATGTCCAAATTGACAGCTCAACTAGCAGCGCAGCTCCTTCTTCTAAGTTTATTGTGTGTGAGGAAATGAAGGAATTGCCAGATATTTCACTTTCAAATTAATGGATTTCCTAACTCAAGAACAGAAATAAGACAGAAAAACATTTTATATAAAATGCTTTGCAGGAATACTGTCCACACACAGCAAATGAGATCTCTAAAATCCTGTAAGGTCATAGTAGAGTTACTTCAGATTAGGAAATGAGTATACAAACTTGAAAATGAAACAGCAGAACTTACCGAAATTGAAATAATGTAACAGAAATGAATGCAATGGATAAAAGTATATGGTAACTGGGTGCATAGACAGACAGCTTAACACAAAGAAGAAATGGAACCAGAACAATGTGAGGACGTTGTTCTTATTTGTAACATTAAGAACCTTCAGGAGCCATGGTTAAGCAGTTCAAAGGATCTTGCAAAGGATCACTAGGGAAGAGACCTGAGTCTATGCAGAAAAAGAAAGGACAAATGTAAAAATGTGCAATGAAATATGAGAAATATTATTCATTTTAATTTCAATAATCACAAAATCTTGGAAACAACTCAAATGTCCTGGGGAATGGATAAAATATGTGGTGTTTTTACCCAATGGAATATTACTCAGCTATAAGGAAGGATACAGTTGAGGTTTTTGTAGGTAAATAAGTGCAACTACAGACCATACTCATAAGTGAAATGAAGTAAGCACTCATGTGTAAGCCCAGTGTTACCTGCTCAGCGTAAGAACTGAAAAAGTAAATAGGATCCAAAATATGCCACAGGTAGTGTGAAGGGCAAAGAAGCTGTGCAAAGGGAAAGAACAACTGAGATGGATAAAAGAGAAAGAAAAAGGCAGAAGAGAAAAAAATTAAGTGGAATAGATAGTTAAGACAGAATACTACTGAACTCTTTTAGTTCATTAAAAAATGGTTCATGTTTAAATTATTTGATTGGTTTTACATGCCTATATCTTGTAATCTGAGCAAGTACTTTGACAACAACAATTTGCACTTTACTATCCATTGGTATTCTCCTATTATCTTTTTTTGAAATTCTGTATTCTTTAAAGTTATAAAAACTAAAACAAAACCAAAAGTGGACCAAAAAAAGGACTACAAGGAAAGTATACCATGGCATTATGACTTTAAGTCATATATAAAAATAATATTTATGAGAAAGTCAACCAAGAATTGGTGAAAATTGATCAATCTTATTCAAGGAGTCTTTTATTGCAGGTTGTTTAATAAGGCCTGGAAACACTGTGATGGTCCAGTGATGGCCCATTACCCTCCATGAGCTGCTTCAGACCCCAGTGCCAACAAAAATACATATTTTATGCTTCGTTTTATATAAATATAATAATTATGACACACTGAAACCAATGTTCCTTACTACATGGATAGAAAAAATATAAAATCAAGACTAACCTAAAGATATGACGACATTGGGGCCGGGGAGATGGCTCAGTGGAATAAGCGCTTCCCTGGAAAGCACAAGTGCCTGAGTTCAATCCCTGATTCTGCAAAAAAAAAAAAAAAAGATATGACGACATCCTCACTAAAATTACTATGAAAAGCAAATTGTATTATGAACATATTCTAATCATGAATTTAATAATTAAAAATTAAAACTCTTTACAGGTACATTAGAAGAAATACCAAGTGTATTTATATAAATTATAAATTCATTATTTCATGAAAAGTATTCATATGAATAAATTCTTCCTAATTTATAAAACAAACTCTCGCCTGTGTTTCACAATGAACTCGCACTGTATATTGGATGAATTCTCTTTTCAGGAGATAGAAGGGAACAGTGGGAAAAAAAGAGCAGAAAGTAGGAGGAACCTGGATACTGAAGTGTTTGCCCCAAAGTGGACAAACCCAAAGTGCACTGAGCGGCAGGGTAAATACGAAACAGCAATAAATTCAAGTGACGGCCATGAATACTGCTTTACTTGGAATGATTCCATTGCTGAATATTTTCCCACAGCAGTAAAAGTGTTTCCTAATACAATTACCCTGCCTGACATCATCGGTCATGTAATAAGTTATTCTTTCCATTACCAAATTCATTTTATGTATATAAGCTTATACTTGTGTTTTTGAAGATTTGGCCACTGATGCCGAACACACTGTCTCCTATTCACAACTGCACACAATAAAGAACATCTGTATTTTTTTAAAATGTATTTGGTCTCACTACACAGCTCAGACTCCCAGTGATCCTGATGTTTTCAGCCTCCCCAGCACTGGGATTTCAGGCATGCACCACCATGCCCAGTCTCAGTGGCTCAGCATGCCCAGGGGGTGGGACCGACATGCCGGATCAAACCCTCATCTCTGCACTTGCCTAAGCAGGCACTTAGTCCTTTGAGCTATTTTGCTAGCCCTCAATGTACATTTTTTATTGACTACTGGTTTAGTGAGGTATAATATCAAATTACTTTCTACCCATTAATTATAAGGAAGCAAAGCCTGGTGATCATGTGTTATAGGGTGGTTTTTAGGCTTTTAAAAGTCATATTTATATTACATAGCACATTGATCTGGATCAAGAAAGAGGGGATGATGTCTGAAATTATTTCAGAGAAATAACTTCCATCACATGAGCTATGCAGTTATAAGACACATGAGTGATTGGGCAAAAGCAGACAACTTTAAACACAGCTTATTGTAGCCAACAGATTATATAATGCTTATTTATAACATGAGATGAATGCTTTCCACTTTATGAAATAATGACAATAAAATAGGTATAACTTAAATCAAAAGTTAAGAATTTCTTAATGTTAAATGTTGTCTACAAAGTCATAGGATCTATTCACAATTTTGTCAATAAAAATCGATAGCACAAATTTTCAAATTCATATACATATAAAAATGAAAATAAGGAAAAA